AGCAGAGCTTAATGTCATTTAATAATGTGCTAATAATCTGCGCCGGTTCTCCATCTGATGCGCATTAAACGCTGAAGTTCCGCAATGAATTGTTGCAGCGGCTCAGTTTCTCCTGTCGAGCCTCCAGCTGCTACTGTAGGGAGCAGGAAGTGACGCGGTCTCTACCGCCACCTGGCGGCAAATATTTACTTTACACAGATCAACGGGGTCAGCTGAGCTGCAGCCAAAATGGGACAGAGGGACACACACACACACACACACACACACACACACAGTTACAGTCTTCATCAACTTCTGTTTTCATATTTCTGTCTTTAATGCGTCGTTCATCTGGTGGTTCTGCGGCTGCATCAGGTTCTGGTTCTACCCACTGAGCCCGTCTCCATGGTTTCTTCCTGCAGCTCATTTTGGTTCTGTTGCTGTTTGTGTTGAACCAGGCAGAGAAATGCAGAAACTTTCAGGTTCTCTGAGTCCTTGAACTGCTTTTATTTCTGTATAAGGCAGCAGTTTGGCTGCCATGTTCACACAGGAAGCAGAGATCAGCTGCTCAGGCCATGTGATCGCTGCACCGCCGCAGTTGCTGCCGCGGCTGCTGCTGCTGCTGCTGCGGCAGCGCTTGTCTTTAGTAACTATTTCTTGTAAAGGAACCAGAATGTTGCACAGAAGGTGTGACCAGAGGAAGGCAGAAGCAGAAGGAAGTGGCTGCCTGCTGGCTGCTGCCACTCTGTCAGCATCCAGTCTGTGTTGCAAGGCTGCTGCAGATGCTGCATCTTTCCATCTGACATGCAGAGGAAGGATTTCTGAATGCTCTGGTTCTCTGGAGGGATTACTTTGCTGCTTCCCTTCAGGTTTCCTCAGCTGAGGCGCCAAGCAGCTGCAGGTTGGCTGCAGTCGCATTGAATCGTCGCATGACTCAGTCCATGCGGTTTGAAACCAGCGACAGTCACAAGGCTGCGGCGCTGCAGACAAACCAAGATTTAATCCCTCAGATTACTCACCAACTCCTCATGAGTCACCTCTTTCAGGAAGTGAAAGGAACAATGAAAGCAGCTTGCACACACACACACACACACACACACCGACGCGCATTCCCGTCCGGCTCTGGCTGCTGCGTCCACAGCGTTCTGAACGTCGTTCCTGTCTCTGCAGGAATGGGAGCTGGTGGTTTTGGGGAAGTTGAAGTGGAACTTGGCAGCGGTGACGCCGAACGATTTCATCGATCACATCGTGCGGAGGCTGCCGCTGGCCGACGACAAGCTGGTTCTGATCCGGAAACACGTCCAGACTTTCATCGCTCTCTGCGCCACAGGTAGGAGGAGAACTGAGAATGGTTTGTCTGCACTGCGTCCAATCAGCATGCTAGCTTGCAGTATGCTGATGTGCAGCACAGATGAGGATGAGGAAGATCCATGATGAATGGATCAGGAACAGAGGAATCTGCTGGGCAGAAACCCAAGAGCTGCAGGGTCAGACTGCGGCACCTGGGGCAGAAAGAGCCCGACATAGTTTATGCTCAGCAAGAACATCAGTGGGGGGGCAAAGAGGCAATAACTGCCCCCTCTTCCCCTAGCCTGTCTGGGTGAAAAATCAGGCAGCTGCCCACCGCACAGAGCTGCATCTGTGCTCTGTGTGTTTCTTGACTGCAGCCTTACAGTAAATCCATGCATGTCTTTGTGCACTCCCTCCTCTTGGAGGGGTGATGTAATGCTGTGTGTGTGTGTGTGTGTGTGTGTGTGTGTGTGTGTGTGTGTGTGTGTGTGTGTGGGTGTGTGTGTGTGTATGTGTTGTCAACACTGGGCCCACCAGATGAGAGAGCGGCTGGTGGATGAGGCAGGCTGCAGCTATCAAAGAGCCGCCGCTCTGCTAAATGTGACCATATGCTAATGAGGGGACTGCCCCAAACACCCCCATCCCCCTCCTGCCCATCGGTGGCCCAGGAACAGAGGACGGGGCGGGGCCCCTGCAGGGCCACTCTATTCTTCCTGCAGGCCTCACAGAGGCCTGGACAGGGTGTATGGCAGGCCGATTGAACATAGAATCTGCTCCACCACACATTCCACATATCTCCCCTCATCCCCCCATCTTTGTCCCGCGCGTCTCACTGAGTTGTATCTTTGGGTTCGGAGGGCTGGAGGGCCACTGGGTGAGGTGAGGTGATGACTCTCGACAATGGAGTCACACTCTGCATTAATATGCTAACAGCCGCTGCCGGCTGCAGCCACAAAGCGCGCAGCTCCCTGCGCCTCCCTGCGGCCCTCTATCCTCTCCGAGCGGCCATGTGTCCTCCACAGAGGAAGGTAGGAGGGGGAGAGAGGAGAAGTGTCTCTCTGTCTTTCGCGGGCTTCTGGCCGTTCACAAGCTGTCTCATTTGCATCATGAATGACGAGAGGGGAGCTAACAAGGTTATTGGTCTTTGAGGCGCGCGCCTGTGACCACACGTGGAAAAAGGACCTACAGCAGCGCGCGCTGGCACAGGCACTGAGCCTCTTTATTCCCACTATTCCCAGCGCTGTGGGGCTTTTTTCAGCGAGCGCACGATTTACTGAGGAGGTGGAAGAAAAGGGGGCCGGTCGGGTAAAGGGGAGCCGGTGAGGGTGGCTGCTTTTCAGCTCCTTTACAAGCCGAGTGAACCTCATTATCCAGACCTGAGGTCGTTACGGAGCTGTGCTCCGAACCGCCACAGTGCAGGCCAGCTTTATGAGCTGACTGCTGACTTTCCAGCTCATGTTGTTTCAGGGTGGCAAGAACTGAAAATAACACAAATACCAGGTGAACCTATGATGTGGGTTAGCTGGTAGCTTCGAGCCCAGAGTCAGTCTGAACCAGGGTGTCAAACTCCAGTCCTCCAGGGCCGCTGCTCTGCACGTCTTGGATGAGGCACAGGTCCAGAACACTGGAATGAAACGGCTCCAGTGTGGATCGGCTCTCCAGAACCTTAATGACCTAATTATTCTGTTCAGGTGCTGCAGCAGAGGCTCATCTAGGAGATGCAGGGCAGTGGCTCCAGGACTGGAGTTCAACACCTGTGGTTTAAACCACCTGAATAAAAATAAAGTTATTTACTAGTGATAGCTAATCTCAATGTAGCACTCACAGTAACAGCTAATGCTAATGTAGCTAATGCTATTAGCATACTGGATGCTAATATGCATACTCTGGATGCATATATTAGCACTCATAGTAACAGCTAATGCTACATTAGCATACAGCATATTGTGGATGCATATATTAGCATCCACAGTATGCTGATGTATGCTGCATTAGCACACTATGGATGCTAATGCTAATGCAGCATCCGCAGTAGCAGCAGCTTTGTAAACCTCTGAAGATGAGTAGATAGAAAAAGACTTTGCTCCAATCTGATGGTTGAAAACCTGAAGATTAAAACTATATTTTTGTTGTTCAGTTTATATCTGTTTAATCTTTTAGTAACCAGATGGATTGTTTTAATGTGTTGCTTATTTTGTAGATGAATGTTTAAAGATTAATTACAGGACAACTTGCAGTGATATTGTTCATGTGTCTGTGGCGCCCCCTGTTGTTCCAGCTGGAAACTTAAGAAATAAATTAGACTTGAGATGTTTGCAGCGAAGTGGAGAATGTAACTGAAATGAATGTTGTTGCAGATTTCCGATTCGCCATGTATCCCCCCTCCATGATCGCCACAGGAAGCGTGGGGGCGGCCATCTGCGGCCTGCAGCTGGACTCGGCCGACCAATCCCAGTGGGCGACAGCCTGACGGACCTGCTGGCCAAAATCACCAACACAGAGGTGGTGAGTCTGACGCTCTGATTCGCTCTCATCTGGAGGAATTTGTCAGACAGCAGGAAGGTTTTCCTGTGTCTCAGCAGGGAACTTTGTGAAGTTAGAAATGCCATTAATAAATCACATTATTGAGGTTGAAACACTCCTGCATTATCTGTCATCAGGATTTTTCACTCATATTTGGACATCCAGTTTTTGATAAGGAGCAGAAATCCTGACACCAGAACCGGAACCATCTCAGTGTCAATGCCTTTTCCTTTGTGGTGCAGATTTTGAGATTTTCTTCAACAGTTTGGACGTGGAGTCGGACCCAGAGTGGTCGGTTGGGATGTGATGCGTTCGCTGACACAGATGCTTTCATCAGTGATGCAATGAGCCATCAGGATCTGAGTGGTTGGTTCCTGCAGCCTGTGATGTGGTCGGAGCAGCAGCTTCTGAGATGAAGCAGAAGGAAGAGCAGGTGAAGCAACCCGCCTGCCTCCGGCCCATGATGCATTGCGGCTAGAAAGCCTCTCCGTGGAGCCGTCGAAGCCTCATAGAGCAGAGTGGAAAAGCAAACATCTGTCCTGAGCAGCACAGAGCCGCAGTGTGTTCGGCGCTCTGCGATCGGCGCTCTGCGATCGACGCTCTGCGATCGGCGCTCTGCACACAGGCAACACAGGAGGAGCTGCAGTGATTCAGCTCTGCAGCTAACAGCAACGCTGAGTTTCCTCGACATATGGAGCAAAGGAACCAAACGATTCAGAAGTCGCCAGCGCCGCCAACCAGATATCCAAAAGCTGCAATCTGTCACAGAGAAATGCGATAGAGCCGAGTCCCGGGGCTGGGTCACTGGAAGAATCAAGCTTATTGATGATGTTCACCACAGAATCACATCTGCAGTTTCACTAAGGAAAGGTTCTCTTCTGCTTCATGACTGAAAAATACGAGCAACTTCTGGATGCTGCTAGCAAGTAAGGGGCCTGAGAGTGGAGGGGTCTGAGATATTCCTAATATTAGTAAAGCCTGTGCGTGTTTCACCTCTGGGTGGAGACCGTGGGTCCCTGGGCCCGTGGGTCCCTGGGCCCGTGGGTCCCTGGGCCCGTGGGTCCCTGGGCCCGTGGGTCCCTGGGCCCGTGGGTCCCTGGGCCCGTGGGTCCCTGGGCCCGTGGGTCCCTGGGCCCGTGGGTCCCTGGGCCCGTGGGCTGCATTAGCCATGATGTTGGCATGTTGACTGAGTTCTGGTTGCTGGATTAAACAGGATGTCGGGGTTAGAGAAGTGGACCACTGCTTTGATGCCTGTTTTCTTCCATTCGTGTGTTTTTGTTCATTCAGCATCACATGATGAGATACCGGAAGCACGTTTTCTCATTTCGCCCTCTGTTCCTGTTTCTGTCCCACTGTGGCTCTCATCAACACTGCTGAAACAAGCACGCTTTATTTTGAAAGATCATGGCTTGTGATGTTTGGCTACCCAGGCCAAAGAAAGCAAAAGGTCACACTTTCTGTTGGAACTTGTGGAAACTCTCAGTCATGAGGCGCCTGTGCTTTCCCAGTGTCAGTCCTCAACAGGCTGTTTTGGGCCGGCGCTCGGAGTCTGCCTCTAGCTGTTTGCTTCAGATGTTCCTAACTCTGTCTCTTGTGGTGCAGGCAGCAGTTAACTCACATTCCTCGGCTTCACACATTTCTTCCTTTTGGTTTTGTCTGTCTGCACGACTTCCCCCTGCTGCCAGTGTCACAAAGGCAGCCCAGTGATGGCGCGCACGTGTCGCTCCCCGCTACAGCACAGCCGTGCAGAACGATGCGAGTTTGGGCTGGGGCCCTCCAGCGCCGGGGCTGCAGGGGAGGGGCCGGCTCACGTGGTTTCCGGTTCCAGACGTTGCATTGTTCCGTATCTGGATCTGCTCTGAAACATGTTTCCAGTAGTCACACGCTGAAGTCATTAAAGGTTCTCCAGTGAAGCCCAGAAGGCTTGGCTTGGGATCCCAAATGCTGCTTTTTAGAGCTGCAGAGACGCATTCCTGTGGTAAGACACAGGCAGCTCCTTTGCATGTTCTGCACTGCTCTTTGTATTCTCACAGGGCTTGAGATTTTATCACCAATGGGGCTCATGGTTGTTGGACTCTATGGGTGAGCGCAAAGCTTTTCGGGTTTCCTCTGTGCGTTCCGAGGTGATCCGTCCTGCAGCAGTCCATGCTCTGACCAACAAACCTAACCCAGCAACTTGAGTCTTCTGATGGTCATTTCACAGTGAAGGGTCCCGATTGCCTACATTTCTTCTGACAAATTCCTACAGCTTCCACCATCTTAGTTGTTACTAGCGAGTGCCTAGCCGTTTCTTCTCCACTTGAGAAGAACCGCTCCTGGCACAGGGAGCAGCAACTTCTCTGCTGCACGTCTTTCTGACTGGTTGCATCGATTCTCAACATCATCAGCTCAGTGTTGCAGACGCCAAATACTCAGTCGTAGTATGTAAGTTTATGCAGACCTGTTCGATGTACGTTTGCATCGAGTCCAGAACACTCTGACTTCCCAGGAGCAACGCATGCAGAGCATCAGAGGTGATTCAAAATGGACCAAACATCTCATTTTTTGCAGTGATCACCAAACACACAATGCTGTCCTCTGCTGCAGACAGTTAGCAATCCTTCTTTTGAAATCTCCCTGTGATTCCAGGTTCCAGCAAACCTGGAATCACAGGGAACCTGGAATCACAGCGTGTCTTGCCGTTTGCCCTTTGACCCAGCAACCTTTGGTCCCCCAGGGATGTTCATCTCCCAACCAGTGTTTCTGATGTGAGGGAGAGCTGGGTCCAGAAGCACTGCAGGCTACATCTGGGCCCCATCAGGTTTAGATTAGCTTTGGCTTCCTGGTACCTGAAGAGCTGGCTGCTGCTTTCAAGGCTCATTGTGTGTTGCATGCATGCTGAACATACTGCCATGTTTACTCACCTTTCACCACCAGAGGGCAGTGTTTGAGCCATGTTGGAGTTCCTTAATGACGCCAATCATCATTCCTCTCTTTACAACACTTTGACCTTTCTGTGGATGTATTAGACCCGGTTCTATTGGAACCAGAACTTCATCATCTGTTTTGCTTCCAGCTGCTGTGGTTTTCTCTCTCTCTGCTCTGAGTCAAACCAAACTGTTCCCCTCCTGGCCTGTAGAGGTGCTGCACCAAGAACCTTTGAAGACACTTGAGAGCAAACTCCCATCTTCACCAAATAGAATCTAAAATTGAGGCGTCAGATTTTAGCAGTTGGAGGAGTTCCTGGTCTTTGGATAAAGACTTACCCAGAATGCTTTGTGTTGTAATCCACTTCCTGCTTTGGGAGCGGTCTCTGGTCTGGTTGGCATTCACTTCAACCGAACCCGGACCGAGATTTGGAGGACCACAGGTCAGAGGTCAATCATACTTAACCAGACAAACCGGAGTTTCTAGGCAGACGTCTCCCACCAGTCTGCCCAGACTGGAGTCGGGTTAAAGTGGACTGCACAGGCCTGTGACTTGGCGTGGAGGAGGAGCGCGGACTGTCTTGGTTCTCCGCCACACTCCCAAGAGGAGGACATGAACTCTCTTGCTGCTGAGGGTTTAGGATCCCAGGTGGATTGTCTGATTGCCTTGGCGGCCTCTGATGGTGGAACTGGAGGAGACCGGTCTCAGATTGATCCCCTGCAGACAGACAGAGCGGCTATCATCAAAAAAGCACTAATGCTGGCTGTGTCTTCAGTTGCTGATGTCAAGGCTACTGCTGAAGTTTGAATGTTTGGGAATGACAAGGAAGAATATCTCACCCAGCAAACGACCCTGGTGGGCTGTAGGAACCTGAGCTCTGGCTGCACATCTGGAGCAGCTCAGAGGAACCCAGAGGTTCCTCTGATGAGGTTCCCCTGATGAGGTTCCTCTGATGAGGTTCTTCTGATGAGGTTCCTCTGATGAGATTCTTCTGATGAGGTTCCTCTGATGAGGTTCTTCTGATGATGTTCTTCTGATGAGGTTCCTCTGATGAGGTTCTTCTGATGAGGTTCCTCTGATGATGTTCTTCTGATGAGGTTCTTTTGATGATGTTCCTCTGATGAGGTTCTTCTGATGAGGTTCCTCTGATGAGGTTCTTCTGATGAGGTTCGTCTGAGGTTCTTCTAATGAGGTTCTTCTGATGAGGTTCTTCTGATGAGGTTCTTCTGATGAGGTTCGTCTGAGGTTCTTCTGATGAGGTTCTTCTGATGAGGTTCTTCTGATGAGGTTCCTCTGATGAGGTTCCTCTGATGATGTTCTTCTGATGAGGTTCTTCTGATGAGGTTCCTCTGAGGTTCTTCTGATGAGGTTCTTCTGATGAGGTTCCTCTGAGGTTCTTCTGATGAGGTTCTTCTGATGAGGTTCCTCTGATGAGGTTCTTCTGATGAGGTTCCTCTGATGAGGTTCTTCTGATGAGGTTCCTCTGATGAGGTTCTTCTGATGAGGTTCCTCTGATGAGGTTCTTCTGATGAGGTTCTTTTGATGAGGTTCCTCTGATGAGGTTCCTCTGATGATGTTCTTCTGATGAGGTTCTTCTGATGAGGTTCCTCTGAGGTTCTTCTGATGAGGTTCTTCTGATGAGGTTCCTCTGATGAGGTTCTTCTGATGAGGTTCCTCTGATGAGGTTCTTCTGATGAGGTTCCTCTGATGAGGTTCTTCTGATGAGGTTCCTCTGATGAGGTTCTTCTGATGAGGTTCTTTTGATGAGGTTCCTCTGATGAGGTTCTTCTGATGAGGTTCCTCTGATGAGGTTCTTCTGATGAGGTTCCTATGATGAGGTTCTTCTGATGATGTTCCTCTGATGAGGTTCCTATGAGGTTCTTCTGATGAGGTTCTTCTGATGAGGTTCCTCTGATGAGGTTCCTATGATTCTTCTTCTGATGATGTTCCTCTGATGAGGTTCTTCTGATGAGGTTCCTATGAGGTTCTTCTGATGAGGTTCCTCTGATGAGGTTCCTCTGATGAGGTTCTTTTGATGATGTTCCTCTGATGATGTTCCTCTGATGAGGTTCTTCTGATGAGGTTCCTCTGGGGAACTTCAGGGGAACTTCCTCTGATGTTCGTCTGGGGTTCCTCTAAACCCCAAAGGAACCCCAAGACCCAGTTCTTTCAAAATGAATTTCTGTATTTACACACAGAACAACCCAGTTTCTGAGAACTGGGAAGCTGAAATGTGCATGTTCCCTGCAGGACGTTCTGAAGGAGTGCCAGGAGCAGATCAAGCGCGTCCTGGAGAGCAGCCTGCGCGAGGGCCGGCAGCAACAGCAGCAGACGCAGCGGGCCCCAGCGGGAAGGGCCTGGAGGAGCTGGACCAGGCCTCCACGCCCACAGACGTCCGCGACGTCAACTTGTGAAGCACCAGAGGGCGCCATTGCACAGGATTTCCAAGAATCTTTTTTAAAAACACTTCCAATCTTCATAAAAGCAGAAAAATAGAACAAAAGAGCAAAAAATCATTAAAAACACAAGGCCTTAAAGAAATGCAAGGACAGTGCTGGCTAGTTTTGTAGTTGACCTTTTCTTCAAGTAAAACAAAAACAAAAAAAAAACACAAAAGCTCCTGCACATGAAATAGATTTTGTCTGAAGCTCTCGTGCAAAAGCAACAAGCCTGATGAAGCTGCAGTGCCTTGGATGCAGAGAAGGGAATCGTTCTGCCGCTGAAGCTGCAGACAGGACAATTACAGAGATCATCCATTTTCTATTTTATTTGCAAAGATGAGTTTTTCATCGTCTGCAGGCAGTGGGAGAAGAGGACGCGTCCTGCCAGATCGTCCACCTCTGGAGGGACAGAACTGTGTCGAGCAGACGGTCCTGTTGCCAGGAAACCGCTGGAACAATAACGGTTATTAGTAATATTTATAATTATTGATACCATCAGAAATATTTTGGAACTTCATGAGCTCCTTTGGTTCAGGCTGCTTGTTTGCATCGGTTTGAGGAAAGAGTGTGTGTGTGTGTGTGAGGGTGTGTGTGTGTGTGTGAGGGTGTGCATGTGTGTGTGTGTGTGAGGGTGTGTGTGTGTGTGAGGGTGTGTGTGCATGTGTGTGTGTGTGTGAGGGTGTGTGTGTGTGTGAGGGTGTGTGTGTGTGTGTGAGGGTGTGTGTGTGTGTGTGAGGGTGTGCATGTGTGTGTGTGTGTGTGAGTGTGTGTGTGAGGGTGTGTGTGTGTGTGTGAGGGTGTGTGTGTGTGTGTGTGTGTGTGAGGGTGTGTGGTGTGTGAGGGTGTGTGTGGTGTGTGTGTGAGGGTGTGTGTGTGTGTGAGGGTGTGCATGTGTGTGTGTGTGAGGGTGTGTGTGTGTGTGAGGGTGTGCATGTGTGTGTGTGTGAGGGTGTGTGTGTGTGTGAGGGTGTGTGTGTGTGTGTGTGTGAGGGTGTGTGTGTGTGGAGGTGTGCATGTGTGTGTGTGTGTGTGTGTGTGTGTGTGTGAGGGTGTGTGTGCATGTGTGTGTGTGTGTGAGGGTGTGTGTGCATGTGTGTGTGAGGGTGTGTGTGTGTGTGTGTGCATGTGTGTGTGTGTGTGTGTGAGTGTGTGGTGCGTGTGTGTGTGTGTGTGAGGGTGTGTGTGTGTGTGTGTGAGTGCGTGTGTGTGTGTGTGTGTGTGTGTGAGTGCGTTGTGTGTGTGTGTGTGTGTGTGTGTGTGAGTGCGTGTGTGTGTTTCTCTGGGGGCCATCAGACCCACTGTGGGGGTTTTGGTTTTCACATTTAGAGATACTGTATTCCAAAGTGAAGAGCGGTCCGCGGTGTGAAGACATCAACAACAAAAAGTGTGGATATTTTATTTTGTTTTTGCGCTGCTATGAGCTATGAATATTTCATTTATACAAAATAACATTACCTAGTTGTGATGTGTCACTTGTGTGCTGCTATTTTATAAACATTTGTATTATAATTATTTTACTGCTTAAAAGATACATCCAGAAACAAAGTAGAAGGTTTTAGAAGGTGAAGCGAGTATTTGACTGGAAATGTTCCATTTCATTTCCTGTTTCCGTCACATTCTTCTTCAGGGCGTTCCATGCCTCAGGATTACTGTCACACACAGATCCGTCACATTTACCTCTGCAGAGGCAGGAGGAAGCATTCCTACTGTTTCCAGGAGCAACAACAGGAATGAAGCGAGGCTTTAGCTGGACTTTGACCGCAACAGGAAAGAGAGAGGAGCAAACTTCCTGAACCGCCATGCATGTTCATGCTTGTCTGTGTTGGTGCTACAGCTGACTTGTTCTGTGCTACAGAGGGAAAGTCCCCAGAATGGCCAAAGTTTCTGCTTTCCATGTCTATGATCACCATGAATGTCATGAATAAAAAATGGATTCTGTATGTGAGACATTCTGATTGGTCGTTTCCTGGTGCTCATCATGTACCTCCCCCCTGGTTCCCACACCTCCCCACCTGGTTCCCACACCTCCCCCGCCTGGTTCCCACACCTCGACCGCCTGGTTCCCACACCTCCCCCGCCTGGTCCCACACCTCCCCCACCTGGTTCCCACACCACCCCGCCTGGTTCCCACACCTCGGCCGCCTGGTTCCCACACCTCCCCGCCTGGTTCCCACACCTCGGCCGTCTGGTTCCCACCTCGGCCGCCTGGTTCCCACACCTCGGCCGCCTGGTTCCCACACCTCGGCCGTCTGGTTCCCACACCACCCCCGCCTGGTTCCCACACCTCGGCCGTCTGGTTCCCACACCTCAGCCGCCTGGTTCCCACACCTCGGCCGCCTGGTTCCCACACCACCCCCGCCTGGTTCCCACACCTCCAACGCCTGGTTCCCACACCTCCAACGCCTGGTTCCCACACCTCGGCTGTCCGGTTCCCACACCTCGGCCGCCTGGTTCCCACACCTCGGCCGTCTGGTTCCCACACCTCCCCACCTGGTTCCCACACCTCCCCCGCCTGGTTCCCACACCTCGACCGCCTGGTTCTCACACCACCCCCGCCTGGTTCCCACACCTCGGCCGTCTGGTTCCTACACCTCGGCCGCCTGGTTCCCACACCTCGGCGTGGTTCCCACACCTCCCCCGCCTGGTTCCCACACCTCGGCCGTCTGGTTCCCACACCTCGGCCGCCTGGTTCCCACACCTCGGCCGCCTGGTTCCCACACCTCGGCCGTCTGGTTCCCACACCACCCCCGCCTGGTTCCCACACCTCGGCCGTCTGGTTCCCACACCTCGGCCTGGTTCCCACACCTCGGCCGCCTGGTTCCCACACCACCCCCGCCTGGTTCCCACACCTCGGCCGCCTGGTTCCCACACCTCCAACGCCTGGTTCCCACACCTCGGCTGTCCGGTTCCCACACCTCGGCCGCCTGGTTCCCACACCTCGGCCGTCTGGTTCCCACACCTCCCCCACCTGGTTCCCACACCTCCCCCGCCTGGTTCCCACACCTCGACCGCTGGTTCCCACACCACCCCGCCTGGTTCCCACACCTCGGCCGTCTGGTTCCTACACCTCGGCCGCCTGTTTCCACACCTCGGCCGTCTGGTTCCACACCTCCCCCGCCGGGTTCCCACACCTCGGCCGCCTGGTTCCCACACCTCCCCCGCCTGGTTCCCACACCTCGGCCGTCCGGTTCCCACACCTCGGCCGCTGGTTCCCACACCTCGGCCGCCTGGTTCCACACCTCGGCCGTCCGGTTCCCACACCTCGGCCGCCTGGTTCCCACACCTCGGCCGCCTGGTTCCCACACACCCCCCGCCTGGTTCCCACACCTCGGCCGTCTGGTTCCCACACCTCGGCCGCCTGGTTCACACACCTCCCCCGCCTGGTTCCCTCACCTCCCCCGCCTGGTTTCCACACCTCGGCCGCCTGGTTCCCACACCTCCCCCGCCTGGTTCCCACACCTCCCCCCCTGGTTTCCACACCTCAGCCGCCTGGTTCCCACACCTCCCCCGCCTGGTTCCCACACCTCCCCCCCTGGTTTCCACACCTCAGCCGCCTGGTTCCCACACCTCCCCGCCTGGTTCCCACACCTCGGCCGTCCGGTTCCCACACCTCCCCCGCCTGGTTCCCACACCTCCCCCCTGGTTTCCACACCTCAGCCGCCTGGTTCCCACACCTCCCCCGCCTGGTTCCCACACCTCGGCCGTCCGGTTCCCACACCTCCCCCGCCTGGTTCCCACACCTCGGCCGCCTGGTTCCCACACCTCCCCCGCCTGGTTCCCACACCTCGGCCGTCTGGTTCCTACACCTCGGCCGCCTGGTTTCCACACCTCGGCCGTCTGGTTCCCACACCTCCCCGCCGGGTTCCCACACCTCGGCCGCCTGGTTCCCACACCTCCCCGCCTGGTTCCCACACCTCGGCCGTCCGGTTCCCACACCTCGGCCGCCTGGTTCCCACACCTCGGCCGCCTGGTTCACACACCTCGGCCGCCTGGTTCCCACACCTCGGCCGTCCGGTTCCCACACCTCCCCGCCTGGTTCCCACACCTCGGCCGTCCGGTTCCCACACCTCGGCCGCCTGGTTCCCACACCTCGGCCGCCTGGTTCACACACCTCGGCCGCCTGGTTCCCACACCTCGGCCGCCTGGTTCCCACACCTCCCCCGCCTGGTTCCCACACCTCGGCCGTCTGGTTCCTCATCGTTTTGGTTACTGCAACCATAACTAATCATTACAATCACGTCATTTATCAATTTCTTCATTATTTTCCAGAAATTTTCCCCTGGATTGAATATTTTTTCTCAGATGAAACTCATTTTTACTCTGAACCCAGATGGAGTTTCTGATGTTTGCTGTAAATGATCTGCAGTAAAAACTAATGACTTCACTAAATGCAGTGAAGTGGAGCCCAGCTGTGAGTTTTGCACAGCTGACTGAACGGAGATAGTTGTTCATGAATGTTTTATTTGCATGAAATGAATCGTTGGTTTAGAGCAGGGGAGCTCAAACTTTTGAGACCAAGATCTACTTTTTCTCTCACCAGCCGGCTGAGATCTACCTCATGGCATGAAGACATACAAATTATAAATTAAACCCTATTGACTAATTTTCTATGCAAATATCCATCAGTTATATCAGAAATGATAAAGTGATAGAAAAACCTAGTGCAGTTTCTTCCTCAGTGACATTCTGACACTGGGAGCAGGTTACTGGTTTCAGCAGGTTACTGGTTTCAGCAGGTTACTGGTTTCAGCAGGTTACTGGTTTCTCAGTCAGAAGCTGGTTGCAAACCTGAGGCCACCAGGCGTCAGTCAGTGGTATGTCCGAAATTTGGTTTGATGACGTCACTATGCGAAACTGCAGACTGATAGGAGGAACCAAAGAGCAACCAAAGGCAAATCTGCTGAATCTGGGATATAATTAATGTAATTTGACATAATTATTGTGGTAGAAGCCATTTGTTTGTTAAAACTTAATCTAATATATTTGTCCTATTTGATGTTGGTTGTGACGTTTACTGCAAACGAACGAGGTCATCAGTCCAAGTCTGTCGTTCATTGAACGTTCAGAAACTCCAGTGGCTGTGATGAACCACAGCGAAGGAAAACAAAGGTAAAATAACCCGAACAGGTGATCAACTCAGAACCACTCGCACCGTTTCACTCTCTCTCTCTCTTTACGTTAAGCACACCCGTTGCCGTGGCAAACGCCTGCGCCCCGCAAGCCGAGAAAAGATTACAAACGTTCAGTCCGTTACGATATCAGGTTATTATTATTTAATGAAGCTACAAACGTTTTGGATCTTAGTAAATTTTTGATAAGCCTGTCAGAAGAGGAAGTGCTGCTCTCAGCGTCCTGGAGGTCTTCAGTTTGTCACCTGCTGCCGAGATCGACTCAAAACCGTCCCGCGATCGACCGCTAGATCGCGGTCGACGTATTGAGCACCCCTGGTTTAGAGGAATGAACTATTTGTTCTTTCTGAAGCTTTTGAAACATGTTTTATAGTTTGATTGTTTAGAGAATGCATCAGAACCAGAATATTCTATAAATGTCTGCCTCACTTTTCAGAGTTTTATTTTGGAAGGTGGGCGTCATGTTGCTCCCACGTCACAGCCGGGCACTCCGGTTTGAAGGGGTCAGAGTTCACGCAGAAGCTGGACGTGGACAGACTGTCCTCTGGTAGGACGACCCACCCAGCAACGGGACGGCTGCAGGATGAAGGCGCTGCGGGTCGGACTCACCCTGGTTCGGCAGTAGGTGCCCTGCTCAGTGTGTGTGTGTGTGGGTGTGTGTGTGTGTGTGTGTGTGTGTGTGTGTATGTGGGTGTGTGCGTGTGTGTGTGTGCGTGTGGGTGTGTGTGTGT